ATATGTTTTGATGCTTTTGATGCTTGAGGATTTTTGAGATCCTTAATTTCCAACGCTCTTTATACTTGTATAGAATCCACATTTGTTTTACACAACTTCTTAAAATTGTAGTTGCGCAATAGCTTCTCCATCATAGCTGTAAATATTGTAAAGAGAAATTCCTTTTCCCAGAAGCACTGCCACCAGCTTATCAGCAAGGAAACTTTTATATGACATCTTATCAAGATAAAATGGCCTGACCTGCTCTACTCAAATTTCAGTATTTTTACTCTGTCCCTGATACTGACCATTACCAACATCAGTACGGAAGACATATTGTGATGAGACACAAGTTCATAAAGTTAACAAATTTATTCATTCAAATCAGTATAACAAACAAAATTAAAACAAGGCGGTCGAGGATTTCACTCAAATGCTAAAAATACGTTAATAAAACCGACAAATAGCACAATTAAAGGGGAACAACTCGAAATAACTCAAGAAAGTCAATCACTTTTATAAAAAAAAAAAGAAAAAGAAAAGAAAAAAAAAAAAGCTAAACTTATTTGAGGCTATTACTCATGACTTTCCTACCAGAAATAAGAAATAAATAAGCTATAAAATTCATAGGGGAAAATCACCCTTAAGATTCTAAAAAGTTCCCAGCAAAATTTATCTGTGGTAAATCGATCATATATTACTTTTGAGAATTACCCTAGGTTTTCAAATTACAGTAATTAAATTAATAATCAGTTAGAAAGACCACTTGAGGCAATCATCAAGTTATATTTTCAACCAATACTTTTCCAAAATATGATTTCTTGCTTAAATAATTGATAAAACCTAAGTTTAGAAATCAGACTTTGATTTCTATGAAATCAAGTAATTTTCATAAAATTTCTATTTCTTTAAAACCAGACTTTTCTATTAAGTTTAAATTAAATAACTAGATGAAAATTTACCAAATCTTGTTTGCTATCAAATCGCAGATGTCAAAAGTCTTTAACAAATATCCAAATTGTAAAGAACGTAAAAAAGAAATATTGCAGATCATATCAGAAAACATTTATTTTTTTACATACGAGTATTATCTGATGGGAGAAAACTGTTACTTATTGCTTGTTTTGTGGAAATAAAAGTTTAACTTTGAATATTTGCCCTTTTGTTCGAAATGAATTTTCACATATCTATTTTTTCTTTCTTTATTTATTTTTATTTCAATTCATTTTATTTATTCTTAAAAGGGAACCCTGGGAGATTGGATAATGTGTATCGCTTACAAAAACTTCAAATAATTTTATCTATTTGTTTAACTGATCGGATTAGCAGAGATAAGATTAGACGTAGTAATTAAAAAATATATATTTAAATTTCTTGAAACTCCCAGCTAGGATTATCAAGAAATAATGATTAAATTATCACAAATTTTATTTAAACTTTTTTCTTGTCTTTAGAAATATTTCTGTAAGACTCCTTTAACATGTGTGAAGAGAAGAATTTAAAAAGACGGGGTAGTTGTGAGTGTACCTGTCACGTCAATATTACGTAACCAAAATGCTTGTGAAATTCGGCAAGTGCTCTTCTGTATATATAACAGTGATACCATTTATCTTATTTTCTCTTTACCGCAATGTGTAATTCACAGCGCTTCCTTTTTGTGTAGCACTTCCCAGCGCTTCCGTTTGTGTAATTCTTCATAGCGCTTCCGTTTGTGTACATTACTCATAATGGTTTTTGAATACGTTGCTGTGTTAAATGACTCCGTAATCAGACAAAACCATCTCAGTGGAACAATATTAAATGTACATATTACTTAAAATAATTATTTCCGATTACGCTGACCTTTTTTTTCCAAAGAGAGTTCATAGTATAGTTTGAGTTTTTAACCTCTGATGGCAGTAGTTATTTTTTTTAAGAATGACGGGAAAATAAAAGTCAATTTTTGAGTTAAACCTGCTGAATTTTACTGTAAACACGTGAAAATGTTAAAAAGAAAAAAAGAAGAAGGATCGGATAGAAAATTCTGAAGCTTAGAACGTCCATTCAATTTTGACAATTAAATCCACAGGATGATGGTCAGTATGACCTGCTTTATTAAAAAAAATGTATACTATTTAGAACCTGTCAATATGAAATAAAAGATGGATTTTAAAAAATAATAAATATAATAATATATACCAAATACTACTATATCGCAGAAAGGGGTCGTGTACTTTTAAAAATACAATGAATGCTACGAAAATTAAAATGTTTGATTAATTTTTGAAGAGCCGAAATTGCAAATTAAAAGTTTTATAGAAAGAGATATATTTCTTACCATTATCAAATTCCTGTGAATCTCGTGTCAAAGAAATGTAGTTATTATTTGGTTTCAGCAAACGTAAGCGAAATGTTATCAACCCTTAAAAAAAATTAGTAGGCAGAAATAAAGTGAATGCTAACTGATAAATTTAATGAAGTTTTGTATTAATGTTCTACTTATAGAATGATACAGTTTTATATGGAGCAAAGAACTTTTATTTAGCTATAAAGAATTTCAAATTTTGATATGAAAAAAATAAAGACCCTGAAATTCTCTCGGCATAAAAGATACACATGTTAAAAAAAAGAAAAAAAGAAGAATTTTGAATCTTTATTTAGAAAGAAATTAAAGACACTAAAATTCTTTCGACATATTGGATACACATTTCAATTTGACAAAAAAGAAGACATTTTGTTTAAACAGTTATTTAGAAGTAATCATAGGACAAAAGTCCAAACATATTCCTTGGAATATTTATAAAGGCAATCCTTCGAAAATCGCCATATTTTTCAATCGCTAGGTTTTGTTAAATCCTATTTTACAAAAGTTCAAACTCAGCTGACTGAACAATGGAGTCAGAAAACTCAAAAGATAGACACATTCATATCCACAAAATCATGAAAACATAAAAAGAATACGATTTAATTAAACACGGTGAAATGTGTTGTCTATGTGATGACAAGAAACCACAAAGATAAGAACGAAAAGTGTATATCCAGTTTATCTAGAATGCAAACATACGATATTCTAAGTGAATTTATAGTGTTAAGAACTGTTTCAGAAAGCTTTCAAAGAGTTACTGTAAAGATTAAGTTTCAATATGGATCAGTTCAAATGTTTTGAATGAATAACACTCAAAAAGTGCATATTGAAAACGGTATGGTTTTAAAATGAGGTGCTGGTCAGAAATCAAGAGGTCCGTTTACAAAACATATAAAGGGAAAAAACTTAATTATGAATGTTGGCGTTATTGTGCAATTTCATCATAATTTAAGACTTACAGTGAATTATCTTTTGAAAAGTGATCAAAAAAGGACATGCGCGGATCTAGAGGGGGTTCGGGGGGGGGGGGGGGGGGGGTCCGTATCCCCCCCCAGGAATTTTCAGAGTTATCAAATGTATATACTAAACAAACTAAAAGTTACCTATGATCCCCTTAGAACACGCGGACCCCTCTTCATCGAAACCGTGATCTGTGTAAAGTAAATTTGGTGTGGAAAGTTATGGGCATGAAGCTTTAGAAGTCGACTACCCCCCCCCCCCCCAAAAAAAAAAAAAAATAGGTTTTCCAGGTTTGGGAAAGGAGTTCAGTTTTTCTTTTTTTTTTTTTTTTTTTTTTTTTTTTTTTTTTTTTTTTTTTTGCTTGTCAAGAATTTTCTAGGTTAGAATTTTTTTATTTTGACTGGGATGACCCCCTCCCCCCTTGGAAAAATATCCGGGATCCGCGCCTGCTGAAGGACATGGTTGTGTTTTTGTTTTTTTTTTTTAAGAAATTGAATTTTATCGTATACATGTATGACACACACACACACACACACACACACACATATATATATATATATATATTTCTATCTTTGTCTATAGTACTGTCTTATCATGAATACGACTTCTAGAATACTGCAATTTCTTGAAGTTTTCTCTTAGATCATTCACAATTGCAAGATATTCAGATTTCACTTTATATAGTATAGTTAGCATTATTACAAGTTGACGGACAAGGAATATCGAGATCGTAAGATTTTTTTTTTCTGTCAATTTCACAGTAGACATATGCATTGTATTAGATTGATTGATTGCTTATATGTTCCATTCGAAAATTTTTAACTCATATAAAGACGTCACCGTATGCCGGTGAAGGACTTCAAATTTAGTCCTATACTCGGCACTCAGGGTCATTGAGCACTGGGTGGTATTTATCGTGCCAACGCCTACCGTCACACGGGACCTCGGTTTTTAAGGTCTCATGTGAAAGACCCGCGAGGTGACATTCACTTCTAGTGCCAGGCGCTTCCGAAAGAACAGTCACTACCTATGCTTTACGACTTTTGTATGACGCAGTGCGGCGAACGAGAATCGAACTTTGGCCTCCTGATCACGAAGCAACCACCTTACCACTAGGCAGCCGTCTAACCACTAGGCTACCATGACAGGTAGGTATTGTATTAGAATACATAATAATAAAAAAACTTATCTATATATGATTCATTGAGTCTGTGTTTTGCCCTGTTCGCAATTCGTCTTTTTTAATGAATTCATGCGGTTGATCATTGGAGCTTTAACAGACCACAATATGGATATTTTTCCCATGGAATTGAGGAAAAAATCTTAAGAGCTAGAGGATCAAGATTAAAGCTACCTTAAGCTATTGTAATCTATGGTTCTCTTACTCCATTTCCATTCAGAGAAGTGGACACGGTACACATATACCTATTACATATGTTATTTGATTGACGTTTACATATTAGTCTTAAATATCGCTCATCTAATGAACAAGAAAGTAAATTGCATTCAATACTTTTTGGTCTAATATGCTTCAGAAACCTTTCATTTATATTGGTATATAAAAATTCTTTTTTTGAAAATCTAACTTTATACGAAATAAGTGTGAGAACTAAAAAAAAAACGATATACAATCTTATTTTTTCAATACAAAATAACATTTAAAACTAAAATTATAATCCGATTAAAACTAATAAATTTTTGGCCAATAATTTTTTTCCTAAAATTCATTACTGTTTGATTTTAATATTTCCCCAAGTCTAGATTCAAAGACAGTGCAATCTTCCATTTTTTCTTTGACCGGGTATTCCAAGTACGAGTGACTATTAATAAGATCCATCAGATACAAAGGGATATTTTTCATTGCCTTCTTCTCTAAGATTATTAGAAACAAAACATTTCCGCCGTTACGAGAATAAATGGCTTCCATTCTTGCCATGTTTAATTCAAACATGCACCAATATGAGTCTAGAAAATGTGACGTCATAATGCAGATTGTTCGTCTGCTACAATGAATGGCATTTGTGATATTGTCCATTATTCCTGTACCGGGAATAAAATCTCTATGATGAATACACAATCGCAAGTTATATTCATTTTCAATCTTATTCACAAGTTTAACGACAAATTTTCCATCTTGGTCAGCATACGAAATGAAGGCATCAAAACGGTAAAAGCGTTGATTGTTACCATCTTCTTCAACACCGTGACCGTGATATTTTTCTTTAGCGACATAATACATATATCTAAGTTTCCATCTATATCTAAATACGATGCGACTCACTGTTGTTCTTAAAGCAATGATTATCAATGACGTCATCACTACTATAATGAGAGTATACGAAGAACACTTTCTTTCCATTTTCTGAAGTAAATTTCCAATTTCACTCAACGGATAATTTTTAAATTGTTCAAATTCACATGTGTAATTCTCCAACATCAAAAAATTCAAAGTCTTTGAATAATGTAGCCACTTGACAAATTCGAGATTTTCGCAAGAGCACTTGAGTGGGTTACCCAACAAACTAACATCAACTTCTTTATCTTTTGCTATGGTATTCAAGGCTTTAATAACAGATGATTCGACAAAGGTCAATTGATTGAAAGATAGATCTAGTACGGACAGATTTCTCAGATGATTTATATGAACAGTAAATTCATTTAAAGAATTATAACTTAGGTTTATATATACCATCCTGTTATTCCCTTGGAAAGCAAGATCTGAAAGTCTATATATTCTGTTGAAAGATAAATCTAGAGACATCAGTCGAGTTTGATATAAAAACATTTCTCCATTCTTATCTTTTTTCAAAAACTTGTCCTAGAGCATTATTGGAAAGATTCAAAAACTCGATACCGGTAAAGGGTTTCAAAAATGATTTTGAAATATTACCGCAAAAGTTATCAGAAAAGTCAATATATCGAACATTTTGAATCCCAGTAAGTGGTCCAATAACCTCATAGATAATATTTCTCTGCGCATATATGTGTGTTAAATTGTTTAACGGTCCCATCGGGACTTTGGGGATGGACATTTTATACAAATTATCATGGTAATAAAGTGTTCGTAAATTAGGAGGAAAGTAGATGGTGTAGTTCTCAGGATCATCAAGAAATTCAGAAATGGATATGTCAAAAGATTCCTCATTTTTTATAGCATTGTTCTTGTTGTTTCCTAACGCAGGAGAACCTAGTTGGACCCCTTTAATTTTCCTGGTGTCATTGCATTTCTCAAAAAAGTCGCCAATCATTCCCACCTGATGAAAAGAGGACTGATAGCTTACGTTCAGTATCTCCAAGCTCTGTAGAACAGCAAATTCTATGATGTAGAGACCAAAACCTAACACATTATCTGCCAAATTCAGGACTCGAAGTGATTTTGGAAGTGAAACTAAAACACCTTTTTCAAGGCTATTGATCCTGTTTGACGCTAAGTTCAGTTCCAGTAGATTCGTGGTTTTCAAAAATGCAACATGATATATTTTAAGATCCTGACTGACCCCATAGGTGCATTGAAGTTTTTCAAAGTTTAACGTTTTTATTTGTGAGTCTTTCAAATCAGATGATATATTTGAAATGGCTTCAATGGTAAGCATATTATTGTTTGATATGTCAAGATTTTCAAGATAAGAATTATTTAGAAATGTTCCACTCTGAGTGTTGACAAGTTTATTCCAAGAAACACTTAAGTTCCGAAGTTCTCTATATCTTGCCACAGAGGAATTATTTAATGATTGTAAATAGTTATGAGACATATCTAAGTACATTAGGCTCTCTGGAAGGTTTTGGGGTACATTTAAAAATGTATTATTTGCAAAGTTGATGCCAATAACATTAATTGGAAAATCTGGTGTCATATTAAGATTACGACCCGAACAATCAGCAAAAACGTTTCCTTGGTGAGTTTTAAATGTGCAGGGATTACTGGGAGGGTATCCACATCCGGTTCCTGTATCCAAAAGTTTAAAGACAGGAATCAAAACCACGAGCTTTTCTCCTAATGTAGCCATGACTGAAAGCATAAAATTTGAAACTGTTTTTCATACAAACATATGAGAATGTTTTGTAACAATGAATTTACTTTTTTTTCGTTTTCTTTATGTACTTGTCAAAGATACAGGTATTTTATTTTATCATTAATTAAATAACGATTATGCTTTTGTCTTAACATTAAAACATGTCAAAAGAAATTCGATGAAGTAAGGTCCCGAACAAATTTTGTTTTTTTAGCACACTATTTGATTGAAGCCAAACAAACTCTTCTGATAAAATTTCCATCTAAATATTAATAAAAATGAAAATGTATCATGTTCTCCGGTTATCTTTTAATATTATACAACTATATATCGTTACATATAATGTAAAATATACTTCAAGGAGTTTTCATATTTTTAAAAACTTAAGATATTCGTTATAATTAGTTTTTTTTTCTGTTCCGGACGAAAAAAAAAAATCAAATTTTTGGCATTTATTTTCGCGATATCTTGTAGGACCCCCAATTTGGATGACTTCATTTGGCAAAAATTTGTGCTTTAAGTTAAGAGTTCTGTCTCTCATTAAACATGAATGATCAAGGTGCTAATACGAAGTCAAAAACGACATTCTCGCCGAAGAAATTCTGCATCGAGCTGTTACGAAAATTTTGTATGAAGGCAGGAAAATTCGAAAAATGAGACTTAAATATTTTGGATAGTGTTGTGCATGGGTCATTCCTGTCTAGGACTATGATGTGCAGATAGTATCAGTCATTTTTAGACTGGCAGGTTGGATGATATACGATCCGTAGGACTGCAGAAAGTTGATGAGTGCATTGTTAAATTGGCAAGGTACTGTATAGAGATGCATTTTTAAGTTGATGAGTAGAAGGGAAAAGTCTGTAGACCGAAAAAAAAATACTTACACCTATTTAAAATTTATAATTAAATTTGATTGAACCTGTCTTTTGTCTGCTATTCATCAATCTACATTCATTTAGGAAGACATTTGGCAAAACTCAAAACACATAATGATTTTTCTATAAATGACTTCTTTTCCACCCGTGATCGGAAGGCCGCGTGTTCAAATCACCTAACCTAAGTCGATAAAAAATAGGCAATAACTGTTCCTTCGCCAAGCGCTCGGCGCTTTAAAGTGAAAGTTGCGTGTCCTTCGGATGAGACCTTCAAAACCGAAACTCCATCTTACGGTAGGCGTTGGCATGATAAAGAACCCTCACTGCTCAGTCTCCCTGAGTGCCGAGTAAAGGTCACAATTTGAAGCCCTTCACCGGTATACGGCGAGGTCTCCATATGAGTGAAAAATTCTCGAACGGAACGTAAAACAACATACAATCAATCAATCTTTTCCACCCAAGTTTACCCCATATGATACTCACAAAAGGGAAAAGTGACAGAACTATTAGATTTGAAAATTGCATTTGTCGAAAAAAAAAAACTTACTTTTCATTCATTTATTCCTCCTAAGTTTTGCTTCAAGATTGTTTAGAAATATAGTTTTTTTTTTCCAGACAGAGGTATAACTTGATTTTAACTATGGAACGTTTGGTTCCCTCCAGTTTTCCAGTTCTCCTAGCAACGACATTTATGCTCCAAAATTTGTACACACTTCAATCGCTGTTTAAATGTTTGAGTTGCGGACGTTTTTAAATTATTTACTCACTTTTTCCAGTCACGTACTTCCTGAGAGAGGACTTAATTATCCTAATCAATTCAATTTCATATCCACCCTTTACTGTATCAATTACATTCAATCTGCATAAATATGTCATAAAAAATTAACACAAAATTGTTCTCAACCCCTCCTTATTGATACTAGATGTTTGAATGGCATTTGAAATTTTTCGAATGAAAAGAAAATGCCAAAAAAAAAAACATTCAAAAGGTAGTGGCATTGGAATTAAGTATTAACAGTATTCTATTAAAATATATACCTTAAAAAATAACACTTTTAAACGTCACGTTTAGTTAAACCTTAGAGGCAAGAAGATCTTCAATTTTAATGCTCTAGTTACATTAGTTTGTCACCCTTACTGGGTTGTCAATTGCAATGACATATACAGTTATTATGTACATTATTAAATTTTCTCCTTACTTCTGAAACTGATACTTATAACATGTTCTCAAAATTCACAGACAAGGGCTTGGGTACAGTGTTAAAGAAATTTCCATATATATATAAATATATATATATATATATATATATATATATATATATATATATATATATATATATATATATATATATATATATATATATATATATATATATATATATATATAAAAATCCAAAAAATCACAAAATATTTTCTGCAAGCGCTTTCGCCATGTTAGGCTCTTCAGGCAGTTATATATATATATATATATATATATTGTTTAAGGCATTCCAACCTAGCAAAAGAAGTTGTCGGATGACAACATGTCATTTGTCGATTCTATTCCGTTTTGCAAAATACAAATCTCTCTGTGACTTTAATTTTACGCGGAGTGGAATGAAACTAAGGGGAGCTTAAGATAATATCATACATTGCAAAAATCATATCGTTTTCAATAAATCTAATCTTTTTAAACAATAAAAGTGACATCCCTGCTGTTATATTATTTATTTCAAAACGAAATCCCATATAAAGAAGGAATGAGTGACTTTGTACGAAAAATAATTACGTCGAATTAAACATCAAATATCAAGCATAGACCTGTAAGGCTAATGTCATTTCTAATCGACAAAGTCTAAAGTTCTACAGAAGATATTTTGGAAAATATCTTAATCTTTAAATGCACCATGAGCATTTATTCTAACAGTCATTCTGCATCTATTTATATTTTTTTATTTATCTATCTGTATATTAATTTCAAAATAATAATAATAATAATAATAATAATAACACATGAACAAAGATACGGAAGAGAAAAAAACCGCAAATGGTTCCATTTCGCTCATGAAAATACCAATATTACACGGATATCGGTGCTTCGTTCACAAAAATACCAATATCTACACGGATATCTCTGCTATGAAGATGTTGTCACATTATATAATATTTTAGAAAACTACTAATGAATAATCGGAGATAAGTTATGTGCTCTAATGATAAGGAAGGTTTTTATCATATTTGACCACATTCTTTTCGTGTCTGGAATTACAAGGAAGTGAAATATCTTTTTCTCACAATGCACTCAAAAGGAGACCTAAAATTTCAGTTTTTCACTAACAACAAAATTATGGGGGGGGGGGATACAGAAGGAAAGTAATATTGATCATTTTTTTTATCCATTCAATCCGAAATAATCCACAATGATATTATGTATTTTGCAGAACGGAACGGAACTAATTCGTTTTTTATAATTAAAAACAAAAAACACCTTTTGTTGATAAAGATATCAGAATGCTTAATTTAGGGAATAACTATCTTCTCTTTTTCATTTCCGACCGTGAATGCTGATTTGAGTGTCGCAAACTGAATTTTACCGAAAGACGCGCCAGCGTAAGAAAGCAGATATTTTTCTCCATTGTAATGCAATTTATACATATCATTACATGTTTACGTCTTATTTTTCTGAGTTTGAATTTGATATAAGTCACGAAACGTTGTGTTTTAAAGTTGTTTTATTATGATGTCACAATAAGATTTTTTAATCCCAATCATGCTCTTTGAACTGTCTCAAACTTCAGTGCAGTGCCAATAAAAATTCAGGTTACAAAACAGTTCTATTAGATTTTTTATTATGTCATGTATTCGGAATGTGATGATGATTCTTTATTATTAATGTATTCAAGAAAAAAATGGTTTTAGATGTATTAAATCGAATTTAAAATGCG